CAAGTTTTTTCGAATCCCCCTTCCTTTTTTTTTTTTAGTAAAAACAGGGTCTGCGGTGATCATTTTAATGATATTTATAAGAACTTCCTTGGTAAAAGGGAAACATTAGCTACATAAAATACGCCCCGTACTTGCTTATCTCTCTTATCATAACTTATTCAGTATATAGATAAATAAAGGAATAGGCAGATAGTTATATTGAGAAAGAGAGAGATGGAGAATTTGGACTTATGTGTAAATTTGATGCCCATATGTATACAAATTACTGAACCTAACGTCTTACAAAATAATCGGATTCACTTGTACCAAACAAAAACATTGCATTTAACATCCAGTTTCGTATTAACTTGGAAAAAGCATAATTTATATTCATAAATGGTATAAATATTAGTAGAAAAATTAAAGTGAAGAATACAAAAAGAAACTGACATCTGATGGCAAATCAACAAAACAGGCTACAACTGTCCTTTATATTTAATGTTGCCATGGTTTCACTACCTTTGTGGGCTAGAATCACGGTTCCGTTGATTAGCGATGTTGCCTAAGGAGTGTTATTTCCATAGTAACTTTTGGTTTTTCAGAAAGTGCTAACCCTTTTTACTCCCCCATTTTTGAAGGCAGAACAAACTGCACGCCCATTTAACAGTTTAAACCTATACCTGGACATCAATCTTTAAGTCGAGTTATAAAACCGTTCCGCTCTGTATATCGTGCTTTAATGTAATAACAATTTACTCTTTATGAAAACACCACAAACACGGGGCCGACAAACTTTATCAAGTTATTTTAGTTATATACTTAGATGCATATACCCCAGTTAATCCACCTATGAAATTCATAACACTTAGTTATCAAGCTGTTATTGTTTACACACATACGCACAGATATCTTTTCTTGCAACTTTAATTAAACGCCCACTTTAGTAGAACATCACGCCTTTCTTAGAGCTTTGTTATTTTCTTATTGTTTATCTTAACACCTTTCTATTTGACTTTTACTAGCATACCTTGTGTGTGATAACATGTTAACAGATTGCTTGTCAAAGAAATTTTCTCACGGATATTTTTTCTCTCGCAAGTGCTTTAGTCCTTCTGTATGTAACCACACTCTGACTGCTATCACAAGAGTAATCTTTAGCGTAGGTACAAACATGTACAATACAATTACTGTAACTACAGGTAAACAATAACAATTAGGATGGGTGAAATATAAAAAAAAACGAAACAAATAAACACCTCAGCACCGTACATTTTTATGGTCATACTCCAATACATTTCTAGCACATTGAGAGCTAATAATGAAGCAGAAAATGTTACTATTACACAGGCTTGTAAGAGAGTAATGCAGAGATGTATATTTTCATACTTTTCGTCAAAGTTCAATTCAAAATAAAATTTTAAATCATTTAAGAGACATTATCCATTCGAAATAAGCCTGTCCATCTTAATTAATAATTTGCTCAGTAAAGAAACATATGAACATATAAATGGATAGACAGAAGGAAGGAGAGAATTGTTTCTAATTTGTATTCTTATGTAAAATATGTTCAGTAAGTATGATGTCTGTAACTAATTTAGTCAGTTCAGAGACAAAGTATTGAATTAGTAATATCCCGAAAGTTGTAAAATTGTGATAAATGTATTTGAATGCTGCTTAGTTTAATAAAACAACACCCTAATGAAATCTAGTTTATTTTTTCTATGAAATAATTATTAAACTTATCGTTCTAAGTTTTGTTGCATGACGTCTTAAAACTGTTGCATAACTAGCAGTGTATTCTATTATGTAACCTTAAGATACAGTGGATGCTTAAGACACAGAAACACGTTTTTCAGTGTCTGAAAACGTAAAATAATGATGCAATAGCTGGAAGTATACAGACTTTTGATTTTTTAACTCTAAGAGTGAAATGTGCATAGTTTTGTTTATAACTGCATTTTAGGATGAATCCTATGCGCAAAATCTTGGCGTTCCAATGGAAGCTAACGTTTTACCTTATGTTGTAAAATTATATTTGTTGTTTGAAACAGTCAAATAAAGCTAACGAAAGATTTTGGTTACATCGATGACTTTAAAACAAAAAATAATGAACACTGTGTTCAGATATTAAACTTATTTATCTAGATACTGGTTGTATTAAAATCAAAATCATCAACCATTAATTGTTTCAGTATTGCACCAAAAAATGGATTTCTATAAATAAACATATTTCACAAGAAAATAAAATTTCCATTTCCAACTTATTATTTCCCCATTTGTCCTCCATTGCTGTTTTTTATGATGCATACAAAGATTTACGATTTACAGCTTCAATAGAATAGATTATGTAACTATGGTTATCTTTTTACAAAACATTATCAATAAGTCGTAACTTTTGATTCCATTTCTCAGAGAAAAATAACCCATTTGGAAATCAAAGGTTATCCAGTAAAAAAAATATTATAATTAAAGACAACTAAAAGGACAAAGTGATGTCTGCAGCAGTAAAATTCTGTGCTTATAATCAACGTATGTAACAAAAATTGTGATAAATAACACCTATAAACATATCCATAAGTAACTTTTTATCAAATGTTCAGATCCTCTACATTCTGTTATAGCAGGTTTACAAATTAAAGTTATTTAGTCCAGATCATATTTGTATGTAGCAGTGTTGTTTCCTTCAACAGAATGATGCACAAAACTCACACCTCTACGATATTGTTCTTAGGTCCTGCCCTTATAGCTGCTCGAACGGTACGCTACTAATATAATAACATAGTGTCACGACAGGATTACCTCCACACGTTCTTGTAAGGTTAATGACATTCCAACCAATTATTATAACAACAACGAAAAAGGCAGTTAGTGAAACACAAACGAGACTTATAGAAATCATAATAAGAGCGGGACTTAGAACTAAAATATAGGCGCATTAGTTATTGTTGAACAGGAAGATGAGCCTAATTGAATGTACTCTTGTAAAGTTTTGAAAATGTTTCTAGCGAACCTGAAATGATTCCTACTAGGGGGTTACAGCTTACTAAAAGTATATCAGAAACAAAACACTCGCCATCATTACATTATTCAAAGATTTAGATAGTGTATATCATAAACTTAGGCAGAGATGGCTATTACTGGATACGAAGATTCTAGTTAATATGATTTATGAAAACGTACTCTTACCATAAAAGAATATAGGAGTAATATCCTGCTAGGCGGTAATGCCGTCCCCAGCTAAATCCTTCTAAATCCTGACTCAAATATTCAGCAGTAGTGAGTATAGGATAGGGCAACCCCTTCACAAGCGCTTCTCTGTATTCCTCTTTTAATTCTGTAGCTAAAATAAATATATATACATATATTCAATTACGAAACTATTGCACAGATTTCAAATTAATTTTACACATTTCTCTGGAATTAAGGCTAGAAAATCCAAACAAAATTAATTACCTCGTAGGCCCATACTCACTTGTAATTTAGTTACTCATATATACCTTCAAAACATGAATCATATGGTGATTCACACATTATTAAAACTTAGACCATCAGTTATGGCTACGCACGAAAGACATCTAATAGCAAAGATAAATAGCCATAACCGATTGTTCGGCGACGTTCAGGTACTATTTACTAATGGCGAAGACAAACAAATAAAAACAACTAGAACATATGGACGGAACACGGAGATTTTTAATAACTACTTTTCTTAATTAGGAACTGATAACATAAGCATCATTTTTAAACGTGCACGTTTAAAAAGTTTAGTTAGTTTTTGCCAGTTTAGCTTATTTCAAAAGGCATGGAACAGTTCGAAGTAATTGTGTATGAATACATATATATGTAACTGTTATAAAACCTGAATTGTTATCGTGACTCATGTTTATGCATGCGTGTGACTGCTGCAAGTAAATATAAAAACATGTACTTTTTCTTTATAGGTTTAAAATCATTAAATAACTAGTTAAATTTTTCCCAGAAACACAAAAGCTTTTATAAACACTACGCATCTTTATGTTGTTAAAAGTAGTTGCATTCTTTATTTCGTACTAAAATCATTTAATGTGTGTACAGGGGATTAAGGGAACAACACAGACAGTTGTCCTAAGCCCGAGGTCTGGAGGAGGGAAAAAATACTTTAATTTTCTTTATTATATTGACAAAATACTTCTGCTTATAAGTCCCGGGAATATTTTCTGTCTGTACACTGTGATTCTGTATGTATTTAAATCGTGCCTTAAATTTCGATTTTTTTTTCATGCCTGAAAGATGATTTGCTCCAAACAGGTTTGCTCTTGTGCGCGCGACAAACCTCACGTACCATTATCACGTGCTTCCTCGGTGGATCAACGATAAATTTGAGAGCTTATAACGCTAAAAAACCGGGTTTTGATACCCGTGGTTGGCACAACACAGATAGCTCATTGTGTAGCTTTGTGCTTAACATCAAATAAATAAACTATCATCACGTATGTGTTACGCTTGCACTTAGCTGGATTGAGAGGGGGGCCCTTTTTCAGAGGACTTGTCTCGAGCTCCAAAACTCCTGGCTGCGGCCCTGAGAGGGAAGTCCAATTATCCAACCATGTTGGGAGAATAAAGAGATATTTCATTTCACTTTCGTTAAACCACAAAAATTTAAATGTTAAATAGCACAAGCTTAACGATAATTTCTCGCCCTCTCGTTTTGTTGGCCAGTACTGTTGTGTACGGACTGGCACTCCTATAGTGATAAGTACTTGTACAAACACTTCCTAGATTTAACGCATATACGGCGATAATACAGAACCGATTGTCCTATTATTTCTTAACGACTAATTACAACCAACAAAACCGAGGTTTTTGCATACATGCCCACTTTTGTTTGAATTTAAACCAGGGTATTTCTGACACGGATGTATATGAGCCAATTAAGAAGAAACAGAAGAGAAAGAAAATACTAAAACAAAGTACTCGTTGGCACAAGAAGAAGTCCACTTTTGTAAAGATCGCTTCATGTTCTAGGCAGAAGGCATAGCGTGCATTATTTTTGCTCATGGGATAGGAGAAACCGCTTCGACTCACTGCTCATACAGGTCAGTTTCACCAGAATGCATCTGTACAAACAAGCACCTTATCTCTAGCAATAAAGGTTGTGTCCTTTGTTCTACCACCGTGTAAAAAAAAAAAGAGAGAAGAACAAAAACAAAAGAGATGACAGGCAAAAATTACTCATGGAAACGACATTTATGACAGCCACGGTATTATTCTACACAAAATCAACTCTAAAACATTCGAAGTTAAACAGTGTTTCGTAAAATGACAGGCTTACTAAACTTGCGATCAAATTGCTGTAGCTTTTATAGAAATTTTGATATTGAACATCAAAATGTTTGAATATTTTTCCCGGAAACAACTTAGAAAACAAATATAATTCTTACTAAAATATTACAAATAGCAGGATGTAGTAAAAATATATCATTAAGCTGTATTTCTTTTTTAGCACTGAACAGTTTATGAAATAATACTGTAGTAACATTCTTCTTAGAATGATAAAAAAAGCTTTTTCTACTTGTTTATAACACAATAATATTTAAACACTGTAAAGCAATAATAAAGCTTACCTCCAATCCAACTAAATCTTTCGTTGTAGTTTATGTCCTCCAACAATATATTTTTTGGCATGGCTGTTCGGAATACAGTATAAATAATATTTAAACACTCTCTCTTCTTTAGAAACTGATAATATATATATATGTAACGATTTACTTACTTTGTAATACACAAAAAGTATATCAAACTAATTAATAAATAATGGTTAAAACGTTTTTTTTTCAAACCAATATGTTATTTATCAAGCAAGATGTTTTGTACCTTTTTTTTTTTTGGCCACCAATAATTTACTGTAATAAACAATTAATAAAAGACATTTTTTTTAAGCCTGAGATAAGGAGCCAAAAAGGGGCAAGTACACTGGTTCAACAATAACAATTAAGTCGTCACACCCAAATAAACATTAATTAATAAAACTCGAATAAACGAAAAGAAACGCTAGTAACGAAGTTTGACCATGTTGGACTTATCAAATATTAGCTTACTTTTAACTTAAGACAGAATTGTCAATTATCTTAAAATTAATGGTTGAATCTGATATCATGTGGTCTTTCAACAATACTGAATGGCTTTGTTGCTCAGAGGGTTAACTTTGATCAACCTAGTAATAATAAATTTAATAAGGCTGAGGAGATAAACACAGGAATGTTAATATCAAAACTTTTTTAGGACTAATACAACTGGCAGAAGTCGTAAAATCAATCTCAAGCTGACTTCTGCTGAATTACATGAGTTGGAGCAACCAACACAACAGGAACTCCTGTTAATATTTTTTAAAAATGACTAATACAGCTTGCAGAAGCCGTATAACCAATCTCAAGCTTACTACTGCTGAATTACATGAGTCGTTTTTGATTGTGTTTATTTGTTTGTTTGAAGTTAAGCACAAAGCTACACAATGGGCTAGTTGTGCTCTGCCCACCACGGGTATCGAAACCCGAGTTCTAGCGTTGTAAGTCCGCAGACATACCGCTGTGCCACTGGGAGGGGGGGGGTATTTAGATTGTGAATAGTTCAGTATATCTTTTCTTACTTTTGCTTATTTTTCTCAGTTTGTACACCAAGATAAAAGTAAAAATATGCTACTATTCTTTATTTAATGTTCTTAATGTTTATCTCTTAAAATCTTGACTTAGCAGTAAGCAGGAGTTCCTGTTGTGTTCGTAATTTATGCACTTGGCAATTCGGTCTCGTAATAAGTGCACGTTAGAGAATGGACACTGCAATCGACGACCCAATAAGGTGACTGAGAGCGTCTAACGTGAATACAGTTTAAAAGTGTGAAACTTGGTAAGAGGTCAGCAATTCAAACCAAAATAAAATTTTCAAATGGTACAATTTAAGTAGAAGAATAAATATTTATCAGGATGTCAAAGTAAAATACATAGTTTTGTTTGCAGTTAAGTTTTTTTCAATTTTATTTCAAGCTTTAAGAAATTAAAATATTCAATTCCTTAGAATAAATTTCTTATTTTATTTCACAAGATTTTTCCCTTACAGTCATCTTAAACCATTGAAAATTGATGACTTAAATTAACTTCATGAGCGTTTAGTACTATATACAGCCCAGTTTTAACAGTTGTAATCATTGCCTAAAACACACGGATAATATTCCCATATTTCAACTATACTTCGATAACTCCAACTTACCCTTAAGTGTTATATTAACTCCATTCAATCCAATACGTACTCCAAGATTAGCTTCAATTTTCTGCCGTGAAAACGCATGATGGGGACCGTAAATCTTAGTTTGTGCCACATGCCATTCTGTTCCATAGTTGGTCACTACATTGAACAAAAATAATAAATTTACTTATCTTGCCCTTCTGTACAGCTAAATAGGTTTCACATTCTGTGATCAAATTCTGAACCAAAATATCAAAATGTGAAATACGTTACTCTAGGGTAGGTTTATAAATTTTGAAAAACAAAATAAAAACAACTTAAACAATTGTTGAACAATAGATACATTGTTATCAGGTTATTTGTTTTTCGGTTCATATAACGTATTTGAGTGGAAAAAAAAGATGTAGAAATCCAACAGGCATACCACTTTAACAGTCTACATTTTTTTACAACGTATTTTAAATTTACTGGTTGAAAATGAAACCGTATTTAAAAGACTGCAAAGTGTTGATGAACGAATATTCCCAAGCCAGCAGAGTATTAAATGACTTGATATACCCTCTATGCCGGTCACTAAAGAAACAGCACTAACGTTTTATAGTTTATCTGCTTCTAACAAATATAGTCTATCTACTAAGAAGATTCAAATTTCAACATAATCTGTGTATCTGATAGTCTGAAATATTAAACTTTCATCTGAACAAAAGTTTAAAAAATCTAAATATACATTGAACTAAATTTATTGCCAACAACAATAAAAAAGTGATGAATGATAAAGCTAGAAAGTTACTTAAAATATTACTCATTATTTGAGACGGTAATTAATGAATATAATCATTTTTATGTCTCAATTTAGGGCATTACATAAAAAAAGTCTGCTTCAAAAACTAAAGGTGAGATTGTTATTAACATAACCCGATTTTTAGAATTTCCGCTGAGCCACCGGGAAGCAAAGATGAGGCATTATTTTGGTTTTACTGGATACATATTAATAGGAACTGGAGAGCATTAAGTAAACTAAAACAGTTTAAATAACATTACAATTTAGAGGCGATGTGCAATATTTTAATAGGTTCATATTGTTACTACATAAAAAAGCATTCGAGTCATGCTGGTTATGTTATTTTCGAACTTACAAAATCATTATTCAATAACACGAAAACAAAAGTTAGTGGTTACGATAGTCTCCTCATTACAAGTAGAAAACCTAGTGATGTTTATTGATTAAAATAATCCACTGTGAACTTCCATACTTAACTTAGCAGGTGGAAGAGAAACGACAAAATAAAAAAGTACTTAAATGTTCACAGTATACACTTGCCCTACATTATGGTCTGAAAATGGGAAGCGTTATAATTTTTCAGATGTTGCATTAAGCAAACATGTTTCTGTCATAACTTTTTTCTTAATTTTGAGTTTCACATGCTAAAAGAATATAAGCACTACATTACATTACACAAGTTGCTGTCATATCCAGATTCCTTACCTGTCCTATTAAATGTAACTACAGCAACAAGTATATGCAGAATCTGTGGACTTTTACAGAATTTCATCAACCTTCCGTAATAAATAAAAAAACAAAAAACAAATAAATATTTTATTAATATTAGTCTATTTTACTTCACTATAGTGTGACTTAAATACATTTAATTTATAAAAGGATGGTTACACAAATATTTATGTTTTTAGATTGAATAATTACATAATATTTGGGAGTAAGCCTCGAAACGCAGTGGTCTTAAGTGTGCAATATGCAGAATGAGTACATGGTATAGACGAGGTCAAGAAGTTTAATCACATGCCGGTTTGACTTGTATGGGAAATTTTGTTGTCCCGTGTAATGTCTAGAATAATGAACATATTTATTTAGTTTCGCAGAGGGCGCTGAGAATCTTCACGCGTTTTGACAAGAATCCTTGATGCCAAGCCTAAATGACTCAGCGCAATAAATCATTATGTCCTAAATTTTTCTTTAATTATGCATGGTTATCGTACCATTTACATTTATTGACTATAATTTTAGTTTTATACACTTACTATAAAAAATGTACAAATTAAAATTATATATATATATATTAATTTGTAAGTCCGAACTGATAACAGAAAGCAATCTTTGTACTCAGTATAATGCCACAAGTTTAATTTTAATTGTCTATATTGTTACGTGTTACATGGAATTATTTTTAAAACTAAGATTTAAGCCTTACAGAAGCAGATAATAAGTGCATGGATCTAAGCTATACGTTTTCCAGTGTTGAAGGTAACTGTCTATAACGACTCAAAGGTAAGCTTTAGGGCTTATAACGCCTAATTTTGGGGTTCAGTCCTCACCGTAGACACAGCACAGATAACCCATTGTCTCGATTTACGTTAAAACAAACAAATAATTAAGAATAACATTTGATTGTTCATATAATTGTTTGATGCGACACTGTTTTTGACACATAAAAATTACTCCAACAAATTTATTCAAGATTACATTGAACATTTCAATTATTCAAACATATTTTAACAATATGCAATATACATTCAATAAAACAAGTCCACTGACAATGAGAAACATTATTCCAAGAAAATAATATTGCAAATAACGTTTGGAAACACGAGTTTAGGTTTCAGATATTAACTTACATGTCGGAACCCAAATCTGTTATGTTTGTTATTTAGTTATTATTAAGCACAGAGCTACACAATGCGCTATCGAAATCCAAGCTTTAGCGTTGCACAAGCTGTTATGAAACGCGCATTATTGGTTGAAACTAAGCGGAGCGTGACTTTTGGGATAATGGTTTAAACTGCTATTATTTTTTATAGGCCAAGATTGGAGATATAAAACCACACGGTGTAAATTGCAGCTTTGCTTCTTGGAATTTAGCTGGAATAAAAGGAAGAGAGAGGGACAGAATAAATATAAGTGAATGAGAAATAATTACAGTACAACTTGTTTACGACTGAGACCTCAAATTGGAAGGTCAAACTTTCACGCTAATCGAAACCTAGTATCTATAATGAAAATGGTATTTAGTTGTGTGTATGCTTCTTAATTAAAAAATAACATTCAAAACACAAAAGAATAAAGGAGAGAACTACAATAGAAATTTTACCCCACCTATCAACTGCGAAAAAATCATCACGATTTTCAAACCTATAACTATCAGTTCCATCTCCACGGTTTATCATGGCGACAATTGGCGTCTAGAAAGAGCAGTGTGATAGGATCTGAAACAACCTGGTGTAATAGGAGAACAGGCATTCTTTTGGATCGTGATATGGTATTTAGTTCCTCGAACAACGACAGTGCTGCTCACAAGTGACGATAATTCATTTAAAGTGAGGTCTGGCTAGGTTTCGAAACGCCCCGTTTGATCGTATGTATAAATTACATTCAACAAGTAAAATTATAAGTGCTGCGAACTTATAACAAAAATATGTAAATAACTAAACTAAACTTCTACCAGTTTTCAGATTTCATGACAGATAATATTCCTCTACATTTTATCACACCGAATTAGTTTTATAGCTAATTTCGTCAGTGTTTCTGACGCATCAAACAAGCAGACAATTCAATACGTTCATTCATAAGTCCTTGATGTAAGTAATTCATGAAAAACGAAACTCATGTTTCAACTCAATGTACAGAAAAGTTAATCGCACTTTGTTTTATTGAATTTTATATACTAATATCATGTCACGACGCTGTATATGAGAACCGTGGTGCTACAGACGCCATCTTTAGCACCCGTATGTACTCGGTTATGTTGAAATCCTGGCCATTCGACAGTGCAATGATACTACTGGTAGTCTTGCTAGTGTAAAGACTTTTCGACGAAAAATATTTATAAGGAAATATTATTAAATAATTTACAACCAAATATACGCACCATTTCAATAATCTTTGCGGAAATGGAAACATTCATACAACAGAACATTGAGGACAGCAATGAAATTGCACAAAAATGAACCTTCCGACCCTAAAAAAAGGTTTAAAGTTTACTACTAAGGCTTACAATCTAAAAGCTTCCGTCACACCTCTATTTTAACGACAATTTTCATGAGAAAGGTTGCTGAAAAAATTGGAGTCAGTTTTTTTTTTTTAATTATGCACAAAGCTACACAAGGGCTATCTGTGCTCTGCCCACCACGGGTATCGAAACCCGGTTTCTAGCGTTGTAAGTCCGCAGACATACCGCTGTGCCACTGGGGGGCATTGGAGTCAGAGTTTTACCAAATAACTGTTACGCCTCTGTCAGTAGTTCAAAATTAGGAACAGTTATACTGAATTCCAGTTGGTCTCTGATCTAGTCATTAAGCCCACTGTCGCATAAGGTGCCGTTCAATGAAATACCATTACCAAAAGATCGTATTTCTATTAGTAAGCCAGACAGATATTACATTTCCCTTTGTTTCTAACTTATAACCAAATAGTTTTCAATTAAAACTTGCTTTTATCAACAAAAGTAAAAAGTGTATACTTAACATTCACCGAAATTTGTAATGTTATATGCACATTAATAAAACTAGATAGAAATCTTGGATAAATCATCATTAATTAGTGTTTACTTGCCCTAAAATGAAATTCGAATATGATTTCCTTAATGCAAAGAACATGTTATTTTTGTAGCTTGTGCTTTTTTTCCTCCATGGATTAAGTTGTTTGGAAATATAAAAACTGTAATTAAAGGTTTAGACAATAAATAAACATGTGTTGTACGAATATGCTATATATTTAATAGTAAGGCAGTGTTTTTGTGTATACTTACAAAATTTCTTTATGTGTTAGAAAGGAAATAAATTAGTTGCTACACGATTATAACCTTCAGACAGAACTAAACTCTGGGAAAGGGAATTAAGAAAACAAGATTGTGATACAAAATCTTATAAAAAGTTTCAAAGGCAGTACGTACATATTTTATTCCCAATGATATTTAAATTTGTGTCGAGGTGATTTTTTTTTTCATTATTTATTCCACATTTTGTATTTGTTATTTGACTACACGTAAGAGATAAGTTGCATCTATTCCTGGTAGAGACAGGAGGAACGTACACGGAAGTATTCACACATGACAGACACCGTTTTCAGATATTATGATCGTCTGAAGTACATTATGATTCATACAAAACAAGTTCCAATTAAAGACTGTAAATTACTCGTTTTTATCTAATTCGTTTCTATTTTTTTTCTCTACGGTTACATTGCTTCTTCTATAAATAACTGAAGCTTTTAGTATCGAATCATTGAGACATTTGAAAGAAGAATTTGGTAAACTTACCAAGAATGACTGCTCCTATAAAGAGACTAATCGTGACACTCACAAACGTGGAAAATTTCTGAAAAATCAAACAAACAAGAACAAATAAATAAATAGAATGATAGTTTTACCTTATATTTCACGGGAGTTCAGATATTTCACGCATTGCAAAACTTCATCCAACATTTCTACTTTTAACTTCCTGTTGAAGATTTTAGGTGAAAATCAAAATATTAGTACGAAACAACTAATTTGAATATCATACATTTTAATAAATCCTATACTGTAGTAAAGATGGATTTTATTATTGTGGATGGCATCACTTTATTCCTCCTATCCCACATGTACATCATATACATTGGCGTAAACTTTCCCTACCATTTTATGAGGATTTCTATGGTTCTTAAATGACCTATAGCATGTTGGTGAGTATACTAGATAGTCTAGTATATATTTATATCTGTATATCACGAATACATATATCTCTTAGCGTACATGTATCGGATTCCATAGTTGAGTATTCTGGAAATATAATGAATTCATTATTTACTAAAATAGTAACTTAACCCTTGAACTACCGAGTGATTTTAATACTGTTTACTGTACCAGTGAGATCCCCATAGTATATCATAATGAGGAGTTTTATGTTTTTGTCTGCTACAATTCTCGGTGTGAAAAACAAATTAATTGAAGAAAACAAAACAAAAAATCGTAAAATCACTCATTTTTATGTTAAATATACAAGGGATCCCAGGTGTAATTAGTAGAATTAATTGCAATATTTAGTGTATTTTTGTTTAACTTTTGTACGTGACCCGTGTTATTAGGGTTTCTGTAGCCAACAAAGTCATGGACTTAAAATAATTTGTTTCATAAACAGTGTAGAAAACGTTTTTAAAAAGCCGATTTGATCCATGATGGTTAGATCCTTTTGCTAATTCTAGGACTAATAATGTTTTTTTAAATCTTCCAATGCGTGTCCTGTAAAAATTTACTACTACCGACTTAGCAATCATAAGTCATACAATTTAGCCTAAAAAATGCCTTTCCCCGTGTGAAAGTGAAACATCTAAAACGGATTTTTGTCAGTAACCGCACACACGCACAAATGTGTATATACACTTAAACATACAACGTTAAGATGTCATAACAATTAAAAATGTTCTAATGTCATTTGTTACTCATTCTAATTTCCAATTTTAACTATAAATTATATTCAACCAGAAATTTACTGCATGCTAGCTGAACATCTAGCAGGTTTATTTATTGAGATGAAGGTTGGTTAATTATTTCCTCCCAAAATACAAAACCATATTTGGTTGTGTAGACGCTTGCAAAAACAAACAAACAAACCAGCTATTTAGCCACAAATCTGGGGCGGTTAGGCACAGTAGCCCCTTTTCGCCCAGATGGAAGAATGAATATGCATTTATCCCTTAGTAACGTATAATTACGCTGAAAAATATGTCGTACGTGACATGCTTACTTTTGAATTCATTCTCCCCTTCCTTCCTAGCGTTGTTAATAGCATGGAAGGTTTTCTGTATCCATACAGCGTTAATTATGGTAAGGTGAAAATCAAATGCCTCTCTTCATCATTCGTATGCTGTAACAATACATTGGCGTATACTTGGTTTGGTATAACATGGTGGACACAAGTAGTCCAATTATTCTATTCCTCTTTCTTATGAAGTACAACGGAGATCCTTATTAAGATGCCACTATATCGTCATTAAACATCGTAATCACTATCGTATATCTTTCCTTTTTAGAGGCAATATTTTGCTATCTTAATTCTTACTCGTTCCTGATACTAACTTTAACTGCATCGTTTATTTTTATCCTTCTTCCTACATTATCGGAAGCAAAAGAAAATCCTAAAATATATGACTTAACAAAATCATTGGCTTACTATAAAAAACATTAAATATACTATCTTAGCGAATCGATGAGGTTCCCATATTTCTAAACTTTCTTATTAAAAGAAAAATACTTTGTTTTAGGAATAACAAAACATTCACGAATGCTTGACGTAATTTGCATAGTTCTGACTTTAAAGATGTCATTATGATTATGTATAAGACTGCTATTAGACCTTCTTTAAAGTACTTTGTTTAGTTTACGTCTTCTGAAGAGGATACAGACGTCTCTTAAAATTATTTCCATTTTTAAAAAAATTAGATGATTTAGTATTTCAAAGTGGAAAGTTTCAGTCTTTGGATAATAAAATAGACAGTCAATACAACAGAATATAGAAAGTAACAGCAGAACCATACAGACTATTTCAAACACAAGTTAAATGTTTGTAACATTTATTGGTAGGCTTCAAAAGGAATGATTACTTTACAAAGATATACATGATAGATCAAATATATTTTGGCATTATTTGGATTGTGTAGTCTAAGAAATTTTCAGAAAAGGCAAATTATGTTCCTACATCAGTAGTAATTATATCTCCTGTTATAGTATAAATCCTAACAAGATTTTCATACAATATTGACGTCATTCGTCCTTCGCGTCATTCCCCAAGAAGAGGGTGTTCCCAAACGCGGAGGAACGTGGTAATACCAAGGTCAGTTGATACTCGAAAACATTTAGTGTCATTGATCTGACATGTAAAGGGCTCAATTACCATTCTGTCATCGAGATGTGATAAACCCGGAGAACTTGTCATAAGTTCACGCACATTGGTCAGCTTGAGTTCTGATACTAGACCTAATAAAGGTGTAATGGTCTTAGTGGGCAGAGTTGACTAATCATAGTACAAAGACATGATGGCTTGAGGGAGAGGGAGGATCAATGTATGCTGTTAACCAAACACCCTTTTGCGCATACGATACAAAAACAAGTATGAACACACTTAGCAGTATTTTTTTACAGAAAAAAATATATCTTTTTCATTCCAAAGAAAACATTAAAAATCATTCTAAACACCTATCTGTTATATAATAAATGGTCGTTCTGTTGTGTACTTTAATAAAATATTGTTTAGTGAAATCTTATGTATGCCTTTTTAAGGACAGTCACTAAAATGGAATTATATGATCCACATTCAATGTGGCTAGAGGATAAAGCGAAACAGTAAAACAATAACTGTCTGTATATGTAACTGTCAACCACTTCATGGTTTCATACATACTACCTCACAAGGTAAAATATCCCCGAGTGTGTTCAAGTGTGACATAAACCTATAGTAAACCCCAACCCACTTCTACTGCAGTCTCGTGACAATCAGGCATCTACAACTGATTAGTTAATATAAATCTCCACCTGCCTCTACCGCAGTCTCGTGACAATCATATAGGATGTACAGATTAGCTAAAATTTTTGAATGGGTATGAATTAAAAGAGATCATCATGTAAAATCATTTAAAAGATACCATAGCATAAGTTATGTGCTAAACAGATTGTGAACTGCATACGTATGTGCGTGTGTTACTTCAACACCAATACTAGGGCAATGGGTTACAAATAGCAAGGTGGGTTATGAAGCTTTAATGTTTTATGTATATCATTAGAATTTCTAGAAGTATAGCTGATAGTCACAATAAAACTTGATTATCTATTGCATAAAACTTTTTAAAAATTTCGTGCTTATTAAAACACAGCCCATTTACACTGTCTGTCAGTTGTTTTTCCTCATCACGCGAACATGAAATATTGTTTAACACATTCAGCTAACATCTTATTTCTCAATATTGATATTTCAAACTACGATTCTATTGATAAGCTATTAAATTCATAATATAACGGTCGTATATCATATAAACATTCAATGTATGAGACTCATTCCAGAATCCAAGTACCGTTTCCTTACGAAAAGTAACTATTGCTGTCACTGCTGCAAAATGTTGATTCTGCACAGCCCATGTATTATTGAGAAATAGAAAAAAGTATATACATAAAATCCCAATACCAATCCCTCTTTCTTTGAAACTCACAATTGACTTTCTCTTTATCTCCTACACCCCACACCCGCACATATATAAGTGTCAGTTAAAAAGTAGTTTTTTCTCAGAAAGAGTGGGTTAATTATTAAGATTGTTTATTTTTCAATTTCGTGCAAAGCTACATGAGGGCTATCTGCGCTAGCCGTCCCTAATTTAGCAGTGTAAGACTAGAGTGAAGGCAGCTAGTCATCACCAGCCACCGCCAGCTCTTGGGCTACTCTTTTTTTTAGTGGGATTGACCGTCACATTATAACACCCCCACGGCTGAAAGGACGAGCATATTTGGTGTGACGGGGATTCGAACCCGCGACCCTCAGATTGCGAGTCGAGCGCCCTAACCACCTGGCCATGCCGGGCACAGATTGTTTATTTTATTACCTTAATGTATAAGATCTGAAGGAAGCGAAACCAATTATTTACAAAAATAACTTACCTCCTTTCGAATTCCAGGAAATACAATAAGGAAGGCAAAGAATATGGTGGAAAAACTGACGTAAATTACGATATTTCGAATATCTTCTATTACAGGTGTTCGGTTCGAGTGCATGTACAACGTGGGACCTCCGTCACTTCGGAAGGCGTCGAACCATCCTTTCAACATTGTACTAGTCTTGTCGTTTTGTTTCACACTATAAAACATACAGAATGTTGTAGAGTTTTTTGTTGTTTTTTTTTTTCAGTTGTCGATTTATTTCCTATTGCTGAGAATCATTTAAACATAGGAATAAGAACGAAATATTCACCGAATTTGACGGATAACTATTACAATAACAACAATTTCCAGCGGTCAGTGAATAATAAGTGTCGGTGAAAGTGGAGAGATCAAATATACTTTCACTACCTCCTCTAGAGCCCAGCAAATCACAATGGCCATTTCTCTGAAAAAACGTTAGCATAAACGCAATGGCCCACATTCTCTTTCAGCTCCAACATTTCATTGAAATATTAATAAAGCAGGTCAAGGGCCAAAAACCACATTACTGCAAAAGCACCTAATCACATGGCGCTTCGAGCTTCCTAATTCACTGTCTCTAGACTTTCATGCATGTTACGTATTTAACTAACCCTAACTTGACGCATGCGTAGTACTCTTCCCCACCAAGAAACTTTCTCGTCTTTATATCATATTAGTGAAAATTGTTTGCAATCAAAATAAATCGGAGATCACTTTATCAGTTCAAAAAAAACAGAGAACAATAATTTACACTAAGATATTTTCAATTAGTTCTCATTAATCATTTATAAATATTAATCTGAAATTGTAAAATGCTGCTTACTTTTATTTTTTTGTTTATGATTTTCCTGAGCAAAATCCGGACGATGCCATCCTCTCAATTGAACATTCTGCAGCTTCTCGCATTTTCGTTTAGTCGTACCCTGATCTAAGGCTTAGCATTGAGTACAAAACATATGCCAAGTTGTATTCACCGTACCTTCTCCCTGCGTTACTAGAACCCGACTGGCACAAAACAACTAGACTTATACACGAGGAAGAAGCAGGTTAAAACTCTTCGGACATTGGCACCTGCTCTTGAAGAGCGCGTGGGATGTTCGGCCCACATTCCAAAACTCACTGAGACACGAAAGTGGAGTTTCAGACAGATAAAATTTGTATTTTAATTAGCTAAAATCTCACGATAGATCTCGAATGGCGAAGATATGTGCAGTCTCGTGACTACACATAAAAACGAGACGTTTGTTATTGAATGAAACTTTTTAAATGGATTCTTAGTGTCGGTTTCGTCACTTTAAAAAGTTCTTTGCAACATATTAAATAAATAGATGGATAATGTATGTTGACTTTGAGATGATTTCACTGATTTATAAAAATAAGTAATTATACTGGTATTCGGGACAACGGTAAATATACGGACTTATGATACTAAAAATCTGGGGTTCGATTCCCTGCGGTGGCCCAGCAGATAGTCTACTGTGAAATTGTTCTAAAAACAAACACTGGTATTTGTTACTTCATATAAATGTACTTGTAACTATATATTTATGACTCGAAATCTGATTGAATAAGTTGGCATCAGTTCCAGAATAGTTATATTCGCTTCAACATTTAAATTGTTTGTTTTTTAATTTCGCGCAAAGCTACACTAGGGTTATCTGCGCTAGCCGTCCCTAATTTAGCAGTGTAAGACTATAGGGAAGGCAGCTAGTCATCACCACCCACCGTCAACTCTTGGGATACTCTTCTTCCAACGAATAGTGGGATTGACCGTCACATTATAATGCCCCCACGGCTGAAAGGGCGAGCATGTTTGGTGTGACAGGGATTCGAACCCACAACCCTCAGATTGCGAGTCGAGTGCCTTAACCACTATGCCATGCCGGGCCCAACATTTAAATCTAATGGAATATTGGTCAACTTTATTATCATAAATTATACCAAAAAGTTTAGTTATAGAATTTTCTATAGCACACACAAAATGAACTAGTAACAAGAGTTAATTATTTGATATTATTAATCTTTTTAAAAGTTGAAAGGTGTATTATCTTGCGTTCGTGCATCTCTAATTCAAGAAAGAATAATTGAAAACATAAAATCGAACAATAGATAAATTATACGTTGGAGTCATTATTACTAAGTGTTTCTATAAGTATACTATCTAAAAATAAGTAAAATAAGTAAGAATTTTGTTTGTTTATTTTGTTGAATTTTGCGCTAAGTTACTCGAGGGCTAACTATGTTTGCCGTCCCTAATTTTGAAGTGATACACTAGAGGGAAGGTAATTAGTCAACAACACCCATCGCCAACTCTTGGGCTTCTCTTTACCAACGAATAGTAGGACTATTAGAACATTCCCACGGCTAAAAGGGCGAATATGTTAAGTGTTGGGAAACAAATGAAACTGCTTTTTTCGGGAATTGCTCATGTACAGCGTCATCTAGTGACAAATATCATTATTATGCTTTCATAGAACATTATAGAGGGCAGAGCGAATTCTAAGCGCTATAGAATATTTGTCCTTCAAAAATATTTTTATTTTATTCTATACTTAATGAATTTTATTCTATCATATACATGAATAATTATCCTATTCTTCACACAGCAAAGAAACCGAAGATATAATATATGAAGTTCTATGTTACGAATGATTATTTCTTGCTCTCCCCTAGAAAGGCCTAAGGTTATGATGGCTGCACAGGTTTTCCCCACTAGTTGGTTACGATGACGGTGACGTAGTTTAATTTCGAAAGCTCCTTGTTCAAAATGTAAAAGAAAAAACTTTCTAGCTGTTTCCTGCTGTCAACGTAATACCAAGCGTGCGACGTCACAGGACAATTGACACTCTTTACTTGTGGTTAAATCCAAATATTTATACGTATTAAATCGAAAAAAAAAATATTAAGTCACTCTACCGAAAAGTATCAATACAATGGGAACATAACTTTCTTGCATGAAACCTAATTTTATTCAAAGTGTTTTTAAAAAGTATTATACTATCAGTAACCGGTTTCATGCCGTAAGTGTCACTCTTCATAGTATATTATATATATAACATTAAGACTGTTATTGTTGTGCTTGTGCAAAAGTTTACAGTATCCGTAAATAAAAAAAATAAGAAAATTATGTCATATATTATATGTTTAATAATTGGTACAATCCAGTAAAAAAAAGTAATATGAGATTTGGGGGGGGGGTTACATTGCTCCCAGTAAAAAAAGTAATATGATATTTGGGGGGGGGTACATTGCTCCCAGTAAAAAAGTAATATGAGATGGGAGGGGGTTTACATTGCTCCTGTAATCTTTTTTGTTTGTTTATTGTTAAGCACAAAGCTACTCAGTGAACTGTTTGTGCTGTACCCACCACGGGTCTCGAAACCAATTTTTAGCGTTATAAGCCTTCAGACTTACCGTTGAGTCACTGGGAAGCTCGTAAATAATACGTGCACACAAAGATTCCAAATTACACTTAGATTAATATTATAAAACTATAATTAGTGGATGAGGAAAAACTTATTTCATATTTTAATATGTTACAAGCGCTTATAATTTCGAGCTGTAATGTATGACACATAAGTAGTTTATAAAAATAATACATTCTACTAAAAAGTACTTTGATATATATTTCGGAATACTGTTTATAAATAATATCGATGAATAACTAGAAATTAACGTTGTTTATTCCTACGTCACCTTAAAAACATATACTAAATTGTGTTCACTAATAAATACTGTTCTTTTGGAGTAATGTAATTATACATGATTTAATACTGTGTGAGTAAATAGTGCGTTCTAATGGAAATCACCTTATTAGAACTAGGTGCACAAGTTAGATAGTCATTCAAATCACGTGTTATTGTCACCACTGTTGAGTTAAACTCTACCTAGCATTAGAAAAAACATATTATTGTAGTTTTAATTCATCTACTCAGATGTCAATCTCGGTATCACACAAAACTATCTATTATTCAAAATATCGGCTTAACATTGGTTAATTAAAACTCACCTTTAATGGACTATTAAGACTTTTAAAAATACTGCAGTTGTCTTTAAAAAGTAATGTCTTCACTTGCAGAATCTTTTGATGATACCAAATTTATAGTGTCTTCATTTTATTCCTTTTTAGGAAGACGTCATTTCCTACACGGAAGAATGGGGAAACCAGGGGTAACTACGTCACGGTGGTAGTGAGAGTGGCGGTCATCGTCTGGCGTTTACGCTTTACAAACAGTAGAATTTCCCAAACTAATTAATTCCCTGCCAGAAAGATCCCGGACACGATATTGTATAAAGAAACATCTGAGGCAGCGGCAATACCCCTTGTCACTGGGGATTTTCAGTGAAAATAAGCAACGTCACTAAAACAAAGAAATACACGCGTAGTTAGTTTGAAAACTTCTAACAGTGAGTGGATGATAATTCGTTTGTTTTGAAAACCCAGATCTGAAAGCATGAACATATAGGATCCGAACGTCACTAATGTCAACTCTTTAAATGACGTTCCTGTAAACTAAACTGATTTCTGATATTTCTTTGTTCGTATTCAGAAGATAAAAGATATTTCACTGAGAATTTTGCCAGTAGTGACAGCAGTTCGATATCAATAGATATTATATACAATAACATTTACTTTGCCGGAATAGATGTCTAATACAATGCTACTTAAGTTGGCGGAATAGACCTAATACACAAAACCACTTACTCTGCTGAAATACATATAATACACAATACCACTTACTTTACAAGAATATATATAATATATAATACCATTTACTTTGTCGGAATAGATGTGAAACACAATACCACTCACTAAAAATGACTGGTTTTCGTAAAAATGAACATGCAGACACTTTTCTGGATTTATTAATTTTTCTATAACATGTTTGCATAAAATTCCATTATGAAATTGAAGACAAGGATAAATTATATTTTCTAGATGTCCAGGTTAACTCAATGAATAGGTAATTTACTATATATCTTTGTCGAAAGAGGGGAGTGCCCTCAGGGGCAACTGAAATCGTACAATCAACAGAGGACCTCGAGTGCCCAGCAAAAGAAGAAGACCAAGAAAACCCAGGCTTAAACATTGTAGTGGCATTATGATAAGTTACAATAATGTCAGAGATTGGGGAAAGTAAACGCTGGGCTCTTCCAAAATTCAACAGTGGCATACAGTATTGGCGCGCCTTGTTCCTAAAGTCAACTTTTTTTATTATTGACTTTCAGTGTTATTTCAATGTTGGCTCAACACTAACACATTCAACGGCCTGAAGGAGGGTTGAGATAGAAAAATGAAATAAGGCAGCATCTATGAGGAATGTAACAATTGTAACTGATAACTTACAGTTTACTATTCATGTGGACACAGTAGATTTTTATTTTAAAATAAAATCGATGTAAAAACACAACGCACAAATAGAAACAAATTTATTTTATCTAACAACGTTTTGAGCAACCACTCATTTTAAAGATTAATATAAAAATTTAAGTTACGCCTGAAGAAAAACAGTTGCTCCAAATGTCACTCGTTATGATAAATTTGTTTCTATTTCAATGTTGTGTTTTTATAGTTATTTTATTGCATTTATTTTTCAACGTTATGCAAAATCCAATCCTTCTGAAAACCTTTGTGTTTTTGTTTTTTGACCTGACGTCTATTTTGGAAATGCCAACAAAGCGTTTAGAATTACAATCAGCGTTGAACCAATCATGATCATGGTAGTCCCAACGCTGATTAGTATTGTTGAATTTTGGAATGCGCTTACTCTTTTGAGTAGCGAATGTTATGACATCATACTCTAACAAGAGACTAAATTCTCAGACCCAAAGGAGCTGACTCTCACTGGCTTTAACTTCATTCTGCATTCTGACCCAAAAGCTGTGATAACCAATGCAGTTCAACGGGACAACAGTGTCCACTATTAACATTAGGACGTCTCTCAGTGTAACAATTGCTACTAAAATCTACAAATCATTCAGATAGCTCACCCATTCACCCATACAAATCAGAACTACCAATGTGTTCATCAAAGTTAACACAGCACATCATTCTGAAGATTGGAGGTCACTGCCTAACCAATCCACAACACGTCAATGACAGACACCCTACCCAAAATGCAAGTGTAAACACGAATTGAAAAGGTTTACATACTGCTCTTCACAGTATAGCCACAACCTTATACTGCTAAACTCATTTGAATCAACAAGAGTCGCTGAGTACGAAGGTGGCAAAGACTCCTGTATAAACCTCGCTCTTGTTAACACCACCTTGAATGCCATCTTTACTTTTTCCAGTATTCATGCCCACTTTACACACTTTGTCTCCTGTGCCAATATGTCAAGGTGTCTGGCGGTGCTCTATCATCGAGCAAAGTCAAAGCAGCAACTTCTGCGAAAATAACTCTTCTTACTGGTAGAATAATGATACTGATGAAGCTTAAAAAGCATGCATTTAAGCCCAGGATGAATTCATGAAAATAAGGCATGACTAAGCCCAGGTAGAGGAGGCAAGGATTACATGGAAAAGAGACTGTACTCTCTTCAGACAATCAGCTTCCAAAGTACGTGACATGAAATGGAATTAACTACATTGCAAAACCAATCTTACTGACGATATCCCATTCCTTACACATACAGACACAAATAAAGTCAACAACTCTACCGTTTATTTGCCTGTACAACCGCTTTGACAGCTTGATAACAAATTGTTTAAACCACATAAAAATATATTCAGAACTGTGAGTCTTCTGCCAACATCTATACGTTCATGGATCATCTACCAATATACTTGTGATAACGGTAAACCATCTATCTTGAAAAAAAAAAGTATGACAAACAAAATTACATTTCTATGAATATATGAGTGTCTTGGGCAGAATATTTCAGAAAATTTCAAATTCTTAATTTTCTCCTATCCATATACACAGTGAAGAAAAACAGTGAGTATATTTTAATTGATAATTCCAATATTATAATCTGAATTTCGTCCAATCATGAACTGTTTAGCAAAGTAAATTTACTAATAATGAATGAAATAAAAACTTTATTTTCTTTAAATTATCTTTAAGTTATATATGCACAAAGCTACACAATGGGCTATCTGTGCACTGCCCACCACGGGTGTCGAAAGCCAATTTCTAGCATTTTAAGTCCCCAACATACCGATGTGCTAGTGGGGGGGGGGCATTTAAGACTTAGCAACATACGTATCTTCCAGAAAGATCTTTCACAAGCGCATAAGTTGAAAGGAGCTAGTAGCACCATCTAGTGTTAAATGTGAATACTACCACACGCCTTCAAGCAAAGTGTTAATAATGCAGTATGCAAACACAAATAAAGGAAATCATTTAAAACTAATTTGGCAGCCAAGACATAATTTAAATAAACTTATAAATAAATATTTAGCTTTCGATTGCATTTAAGAAACATTTTAGAAATTGCACATTGGCTTATTTCATATTTATTTTCACACTATTTGCAAACAATTCTTTGAACTGATTTATGACGATCGCTATGAAGTAAAATACATGAAGTGTTCCATTTTATCTTTAAAATGTAGTATGTTTCTGTCAACGTTGCCCCACCAGTGGCACAGCGGTATGGTTGCGGACGTACAACACTAGAATCCGGGTTTCGATACCCGTGGTGGACAGAGCACCGATAGCCCATTGTATAGCTCTGTGCTTAATTACAAACAAACAAACTGTCAACTTTCATGACAAATACTTTCTCATGTGATTATTAGGTACTACCAATTTTCTAATAACGCGTATTATGATAATAGTACGGTTATTACAAAATTTAAAAAAAAGGACGAAATATTTGGAACAAATGTTGGTGAGTTTGTTGACTAACGAAAGCATAGATTCGTTTTTAATCGGTGAAGTCGCAGGGACAAACGCATATTAACTGTGTAGCGTATTCTTAGTAAAGTCACTGGCGAAGTAACAAAACCAGAGTTTGTGAATATTTTTTTCAATCACTACAGAAGTTTCTTTAAAGAAATGAAAAGCTAAACAATTACAAAGAAAAAAACATACAAAAACCAACTTGTTTTAGTCCAAGATGTCACTTATATAAACTTCGTTAATTTCTTCAAAAATTTGTTTTGTTTTTGTTATGAAAGCTACACGAATACTATCTGTGCTAGCCGTCCCTTATTTAGCTCGGAATGTAGTGCTCGGAAATCATCAAACAAATTACAATGTACTTTAAGCTGTTTATATAATATACATATATATATATATATATATCAACTATTTTTACATCTGTATTCGAAATGTTTACAATATTCGAAAAAATTTAAGAATTTTTATCAGACTTCGAAGTTTAAAATGATCAAACCTTTAATGTAACTCGTACAGATTTTTCGATAAAAACATTGTGTTTCCACAGAAGATTTGAAATTTCAGCTGTAGTAGTATAGTAATTCACACACAAACTTCATATCGTATTTCCTCGGTACGACCTATTTAGAAAACTTTAAACTTTATTAAGTTATGATTTAATAAAATATATAATAGAACGCCATTACAACCTAAACCAAATACACAAATTACAAAATCAGTTGACGTTATGATACTAAACCCAAATCCCTGTATATAAGTAAAGAAAAACCTTTTCAAAAAAGGAATTAAATATAAGGATGGATAATATCAATCCTTCAAAACAATGCAAAGTAGATAGTAGGAGTGACATTTGCATCATCCCTACATTATAGCACAGGTATACGGTGTAGTAGAATGTTAACAGATTCAAATAGAATAAATTAAATTCGATTGTGATCGAATAGTCATTCATATATATATATATATATTGGCATAATATAGCTATACGTTAATTCTTGCGTGTACTGTTATGTAGGAATGACGCAAATGCCATCCCTACTATCTTGTTTGCATTGTTTTGGAAGTATTGATATTAGCCATCCCTACATTTACTTCTTTTCTTGAAATATTTTTTCTTTACTTGTTTGCTTGTTTTTTTAACTGCAGTATTTCTACAGATATAGGAAGGTTGTATTTATATCCA